CTCATCTCTACAATAAATAAAAAAATCAGCCGGGCGTGGTAGCGTGCACCTGTAGTTCCAGCTACTCGGAAGGCTGAGGTGGAAGGATCACTCAAGCCCAGCAGGTCGAGGCTGCAGTGGCCGGAAGCGGCCACTGCACTCCAGTCTGGACAGCAGAGTGAGACTCCAACTCAAAAACAAAAACAAAAAATTGAGCACTTGCAAATCCCGGTGCCACTGTAAAAGCCCTTCCCCTTGCTTAGAGACCCTCTGCCTCTCCCTTCCCATCCTTTACCTATTCAGTCGTTAATCGATCCCTAAGAGCTCACTCAAATGTCACCATATACAGCAGACAAGTCCAACCCATGACCCATGGGTCACAGGTGGCCTAGGAAAGCTAGTAATGTGGCCCCACAAAATCTTTTAACATCATGTTGTTTTTAGCATTTATTTTCTTTGTGACCCCATATGTGGTTCCATTTTTGAAGTTCATAATCACGCCTTATTCATGGCATCGCGTTTTGGCAGCACATATGTTTGTGAGCAGCTGTTTTCAATGATGAAGCACAGGAAGAGCAGATCTCAGACAAACATTTCTGATGCGCACCTTGAGAACGCACTAAGAATTGAGACCACTTCGATGGAACCAGATTTGAATAGATTAGTTTTACAAAAACAAGGTCAAATTCCCCAATAATTTTATATTGTTCTCATTTTTCTGAACTTCATAATAAAAAGATTTAAAAAATAAAAGAAGTCTTATAATGTATATTCTCTAACTATATTGTATAATTTCTGCGCAACCCAAGATAATTCCTCTTTACTTGAAGCCCAGGGAAGCCAAAAGGTTGGACACCCCTGATATAAAGCTTTCCCTAACACTCCTTACCAGCACCATTATCACTTTTGTTTGGCCATTATGTCTCTCACTAGAGTATAAGTACAAACACCAAAGCAATGTCTTATTAACTTTTGATTCCTCAGGACCTAGTACAAGGCTACACATACATGATTGGTGCTAGATACTTCATTAATATTTGTAGAATAAATCAATGACATTGCTGCACTTGGAGATTACGCATAGCATTTAAGGTGGTTGGGTGAAACTAAGGACTAATAAAAGAAAAAACAAGGCGATCAGGTGAGCATGTGAAGTTTTTGTTGTTAAAAAAAACACAAAAACACGTTGGGCAAGTTGCCTCATGACTGTGATACCAGTGCTTTGGGAGGCTGAGGCAGAAGGACTGCTTGAGATCAGGAGTTCAAGATCAGCCCGGGCAACGTAGCAAGACCCCACCTCTACAAAAAATTTAAAAAATTAGCCAAGCACAGTGGATCGCACTGTAATCCCAGCTACTCAGAAGTTGAGACAGGAGGATCACTTGAGCCAGGAGGTCAAGGCTGCAGTGATATGATTGTGCCATTGTACTTAAGTGCGGGCAACAAAGAGAGACTTTATGTTTAAAAAAAAAAAAAGAAAAAGAAAAAGAAAATCTCGGGACTCACCCCAAACCAACTGACACATAAGTATGGGCTGGGACCCAGTAAACCTGTGTTTTAACAAGCCCTCTAGATGATTTTTTTTTTTTTGAGTTGGAGTTTCACTCTGTTGCCCAGGCTGGAGTGCAGTGGCATGCTCACAGTCACTGCAGCCTCTATCTGATGGGCTCAGATGATCCTTCCGCCTCAGCCTTCCAAGTAGCTGGAACTACAGGGACGCGCCACCATGCCCGGCTAATTTTTTGACTACAATAATTGTAGAGATGAGGTCTCACCAAGTTGCCCAGGCATGTCTCGAACCTGTGGTCTCATGCAATCCTCTTACCTTGGCCTCCCAAAATGCTTGGATTATAGGCATGAGCCACCATGCCCAGCCCAGGTGATTATAATACACACTAAAGTGTAAATGTCAATATTTTGCTGGAAATAGAAATTAGTTGATAATATTTCTTTTTCTTTTTCTTTTCTTTTCTTTTTTTTTTGTGAGTCAGAGTCTCATTCTGTCGCCCCGGCTGGAGTGCAGTGGCACACTCACGGCCACCGCAGCCTCGACCTGCTGGGCTCAGATGATTCTTCCTCCTCAGTATTACAAGTAGCGGGAACTACAGGCATGCGTCACCATGCCTGGCTAGTTTTTTGATTTATTGTAGAGATGAAATCTCGCCATGCTGCTCAGGCTGGTCTTGAACCTTTGAGCTCAGGCAATCCTCTCACCTCGGCCTCCCAAAGTGCTGGGATTACAGGCCTGAGCCACCACGCCCAGCCAACTGATACTATTTCAAAGCGTCATTTTCTGTTACTGGAGATGACCACAGCTGGATTCCCAGTAGCCCGAGATGCATACCCATGAGGCTTACAAGGGTTAAACTTCAGGATCACCCTCCATTTGTTTGGGTCCTCGCTAGAGCTGGGAGTTGCTGGGAGTCACAGAGAGTTATAGGTGCAGAGGGGAAGCCAGATTGCAATCAGGAAGTATTTCTATATAAACATTTCTGGTAAATTGTTTAAAAAGAGCTCGGAAGAAAGAGAACTCCAAGACTCCAGAATTGTTCTTCCCTCATTTCAGATACGTACTCATTTTTCTAATTCTATTATTTTTCTTAAAATGGTACAAACTTACGGGGAACAACTGTGTAAGTTTCAGGAGCTGGATCCACCCAGACCTTCGTGGTTTGTCTTTCAAACAACTAAGCCTGCCGGGGCTGCAATACTTGGGCATAAACTGGTGCTGCAGGGAACCGAGCTTTTCATTACTGTTTTCCTTTTGAAGCTGGTACCTGGGACAGAGGAGCCCGGGATTGGTTATTCGGGGCGAGTCGTGGGGAGCCTGGCGAAGGTCCGGCAGGTGCCCGAGAAGGAGGTGGGGAGGGCCGGGAGGCAGCGCAGCCTCGGGGCGGAGGTGGGCGGCTGGGGACCGAAGCAGCCAGAGTCCCCGCCTCCACCTACCTGAGCAGGTCCTGGCTGAGCTGCTCCGACACCTTCGCCTTCAGCCGGCGCCGCTCACAGGGCCCCTTCCTCTGCACCCCCTTCCTGCAAACTCCAGGGGACCCCAGTAGCACCCCGGGGGCCGCGCCGCGCCCCCCACGGCCCGCCATGTCTCACTGAGCGCCCCGCAGGCCCGGGGCTCGGCCTCGCTCGCCCCGCCCCGGAGGAAGAAGGGGGCGTTTCCAATCGAGCGCTCCGCTCGGATCCGAATCCGCCCACTTGGGAGAAAGGTTCACGCCGCTCGTCTGTTTGTAGACGTTCCCTTAGGGCAGCCGGACAGCGGCCGGCGAACCTCTGAGGCCCGCGCCCAGCCGGCACGTGACCGGGAAGGGTGTGCGCATGCGTGCTGGCGCTGTTTACCTCTGCCTGCGGGCATCCCGCCCCCAGGGCCCGGGAGCGGACGGTCCCGCGGGGAGGGCGGTCCTCGGGCTCTTTGTTCCCGCCCCTCTTCCATGGCTTCCGGTTGGTGCCAACCATTCATTTTTAAGATGAGGTCACGTATGTTGCCCAGGCTGGTCTCGAACTCCAGGGCTCAGACAATCCTCTCGCCTCAGCCTCCCAAGGTGCTGGGATTGCAGGCTTGAACCACTGCGCCGGGCCCACTTATCTACTTTTTAACGCTGACTGATAAGTGTTTGGGGCAAGGAAAATCGAGGGTAGGAGGGGTGTTAGGTTAAAGATCCCAGTGAGGTCTCCAAAAATGTTAGGTCAGACCGATGGGGATTTGCCATCGGAACCATACGGTTCCGCATAAAAAATGCAAAGAATTTCACAGAAGTTAGATTGGAAAATACAGTTTATTTAGATAGTAAATTAGAAAGAAAGAAGAGAGAGGAGATTTCACCTCCCCAAGGTTGGGGTGGGAGCCAAAGCCAGGAAACATGGCGGCCATAGGTCAAGGAGCCACGTGGACACACCAGAGTTTAACAAAGCACTGGTGACTGGCTGCTGGCAGTGGAGTCCTTTTAAACTTTCCCTTTGATGGGAGAAGGTCCTCAAGGTGATTGGGTGGTGGTCTGCTCCACATCATCATGGAGGGCAGGTAAGCACAGGTACTGACATCAGGTGATGGACAGCAGGCAGATGGGTGGGTTAGTCACATGATCACCTTCTCACCTTGATTACTGTCACACCACTGCCATAGTGATGGGGTCTGTGTCATGAAGGTCAGGAAGGGCTGATTAGGTTGAGTCTTATGGGTGTAAGCAAATACTTGAAATAGAAAAGCTGATTAGTGCAAAATAAACTGGGGAGGGGTCTGAAAAACAATGATCAATAGCTACCTCTGAGAAGCCAGTTCTGTTCTTGGCTCATATTAAAGGGTAAATTAAGGTGAACTGCTAGAAAAATATGACAGTTCTAAACAATGTTAAAATGGCTGCACTTTGGCTATATTGACTCCATGTTATGTCCTTTCTAGAGTCAGATCAATCCTGAGGTCAATACAAGGGGTCTCTCAGCATCTGAAAGGCCTCATTCTCTTCTTGTCCAGGGAGTGGCTTAGGTTACATGACATGGCTTTGTATAGAGAATGCTAACATTTATGACCAAGAAGGGAGACAGCAGTAAGGGGCAAAGCCATTGACTGAGCAGGAAAGTGGATGGATCCATGAGCTATAGAATTCTCAATATTTTTCCCCAAATAAAGTAGCAAAAGTGATTTAAGCCTTTCGTATTTTTTATTGGATTACTTCCTCCAAAAGAAAAAAAGTCAATAGTGGTTCAGCCGGGCTCGGTGGCTCAGCCTGTAATCCCGCGCCTTTGGGAGGCTGAGGTGAGTGGATTGCCTGAGCCTGCGGGTTTGAGACCTGCCTGGGCAACTTGGCGAGACCTCATCTCTACAATAAATCAAAAATCAGCTGGGCATGGTAGCACACGCCTGTAGTTCCAGCTACTCGGAAGGCTGAGGCGGAAGGATCACTAGAACCCGGCAGGTTGAGGCTGCGGTGGCCGGGAACGGCCACTGCACTCCAGTCTGGGTGACAGTGTGAGACTCCAACTCAAAAAAAAAAAAAAAAAAAGTGGTTCATTCACAAGCCCTGCACAAGATTAAAAAATAATAATGTCTTGGAAAATATATAGACTTTGGACCATAAGATTGGCCAAGAAGTAGTCATTTCTCCAAATAATACCCCCTCTCAAATATTCAGACACCTTAATTCTTGCTCTGTACCTATTAATTAATCCTCACAACAACCATTAGGCAGATACTGATTTATACATGAGGAAGCTGAGACATACAAAGGATAGGTAACATGGCCAAGTTCGCACAGCAGTAAATGGTGTTTTAAAAACCAGCCACCTTTTGACTGGCACAGTTGGTCAATTTATATACACTGTTGATAGGAATGTAAATTGATGCAGTCATTATGGGAAACAGTATGGAGTTTCCTCAGAAAAATTAAAATTGGACTACCGTATGGTCCAGCAAATCCTCTTCTGGGTATATGCCCAAAGGAAATGAAATTAGCACCTCATAGAGATATCTGCCTTCCCATGTTTGTTCCAGTATTAATTCACAATTGCCAAGATATGGAAACAATCTGACTGTCCACCTGTGCATGAATGAATAATAACGTGGTGTATAGATAATGGAATATGTTTCATCCTTAAAAAAGAAGAAGATCCTGCCATTTGTGACAACATGGATAAACTTAGAGGACATTGTGCTATCCAAAATAAACCCAGCACAGACAAGCACTGCATACTTTAATAGGTAAAAAAAAAAAAAAAGTAGGCCAGGCATGGTGACTCAAGCCTGTAATCCCAGCACTTTGGGAGGCTGAGGCAAGAGGATTGCCTGAGCTCAGGGGTTTGAGACCAGCCTGGGCAACTTGGCAAGACTTCATCTCTACAAAAAAAAAAAAGTTAGCTGGGCATGGTGACACACAGCTGTGGTTCCAGCTACTTGGAAGGCTGAAGTGGAAGGATGCTTGAGCACAGCAGGTTGAGGGCTGCAGTGGCCGTGAGCATACCACTGCACTGCAGCCTGGGCAACAGAGTGAGACTGTGACTCAAAAAAAAAAAGTAGAGTACTTAGACAATAGGTGGTTGGAGGAGACGAGGAGGTAAAGGTCACAAGGTACAAACTTGCAGTCACATAGGATGAATGTCTAATGTACAGCTTGAGGACTATGGTGAATAATATTGTACTGTCTACTAGAGAGTTGCTAAGAGTAGATTTTAGGTGTTCATACCACACAAAGAAGTAACTGTGAGAGGATGGTATGTTAATTTGCTTCACTGTATAATAATTTCATTATCAAAACATCGTGTTGTACACCTTAAATATCTACAAGATAAAAAAACAATACTCAAGCTCTAGCACCAGACTCCCTCAAAGTCCTCCTGCCAGATTCCCACCATGCCCCTTTATCACTCTCTGGTTGGAAATATGTGACAAAATAATTTCTGGTTCATGTACAAGGGGGACCCAAAAAAACCTAGATTTGTCTTTTGGAATGCTCCTTGCAGTACATTTTGAATTTGTTCCTCCGAATCAAACGATCAACCAAAGTTGAGAAAGTTACATCGCAATTTACAGAAGAAACATCCTGAGCTGTGGCAAACAGGTGACTAGTACTTCCACTATGACAACACACTTGTCTATACCCACTGAGTACACAGCCGTTTTTGACCAAAAACAATGACCCCAGGGCCCTACTCTCTTTATTCACCCAAACTTGCCCCCAGCGATTTATTGCTCCCCCCATTAAAAATTCCTCCAAGGGAAATGTTTTGCTGATGTGGAAGAGGTGAAGCAACAACCAGCAGAAGCACAAAAAGGTGAGTTCAAAAACCATTTTGACAGTGGAGAAAGCATCTTGGTAGGTTTATTGCATCGAACCAAGTGTTTGAAGGTGATTGAAGTTTAAACATGTAAGAATACATACACAATCTTTACAAATAAATTCTGGGTTTTTTGGGGGGTCCCCTCTCATATATAAAGAGTTGGTTTTTCTATTGTAAACACAAGTTCCTATGATACAATAATGATAATTCTTAGGGATACTTCACTTTCTTCTGTCACTATCAGAACTATGCATAGTAAGGAAGGCATTACTCTCCAATAACCAATTTAGGGCTTATCTGGGAACACAGTGTAGACTTGTTATCAAGCAAAAAGTCCAAAGTACTAGAAGCCAATATAATGACACCAGGTTTTTTTGAGAAAGGAAAAGCTTTATATTGAAAGTTGACTCCAAAGAGACAAGCTCAAATCTGTCTCCCTATGCTGACTTCCAGGCAGTATTTTTATTAGAAAAAGTTCAGGGGGTGGATTCTGAAATTAGTGTGTAACTGATGGAAGGAAAGGGGAGGTATGGAAAGTCCTTGGGCGTGCTCAGTTATCTCTGCAGGCTATCTTCTGGGTCACCGTGCAAATTCAGGGGCAGTTGGTATGAAACACGTGGAAGTTTAGGCTGTGGTGTCAGCAAGCTCCTTCTGCACAAGTTCCCATTGGCTATATTGGTCCTGATTTCAGCTCTTTTTTTGTTTTGTTTTGTTTTGCCTTTTTGAGTTGGAGTCTCACTCTGTTGCCCAAGCTGGAGTGCAATGGCATACTCGGCCACCCCAGCGACGACCTGCTGGGCTCAGGTGATCCTTCCGCCTCAGCCTTCCAAGTAGCCAGAAATACAGGCGCGTCCTACCACACCCAGCTGATTTTTTTTTTTTTTTTTTTT